GGAATGGTCTGTAACTGATGAGCTGAAAATGCATGAAGTTAAGACTGTTCCTGTGTGGATTCAATTTCCTAAATTGTCTCTTAGATATTAGAATGACACTACACTTAGCAGATTGGCAAGTATGATTGGCAATCCGGTAGAAATGGATGACATGACTGAACAAAAACTCAGAACTGCTTATGCTAGAGTGCTAGTGGAAGTGGAAATACATGAACAGGTGAAAGATAAGGTGTGGTTTGAAAATGAAGCTGGTGAACTGAAAGAACAGAAAGTCATCTATGAATGGAAACCCATCAAGTGTAAGAATTGCAAAGGTTATGGTCATTCTTCTGATGAATGTAGAATTCCAGTTCCTAAGGTTTGGAATCCAAAAGAAGTTGGACAGAAGGATCAGCCACAGTTGACACCAAAAGGAAAAGAAATTCAGGAAGAAGAAAGGGAAATGGAGGAGTCAGGTGGAAGCAAGTGGATTAGTAGAAAGGAACGGTCTCCAACAAGAACTCCTGTCAGTAGACTACCAGTAAAGAGTACAGTCATAGCTCCAAGGAAAGATGCAAGCAAACATGAGAAAGGGATTCAGATATTGAATCAGAAAGGCTGCAAAGTGAACGAAGGAAGAATGTGTGATAAAATGAGGTCAGTTAATAATATTTGCTATTCTGTTTCTAGTCACCCTGATCCAAGGCCTAGTAAACATGAATAACATCACCTCATGGAATATAAGGGGACTTAACAGTCCCCTGAAACATAGAGAGATTAGGAACTTTCTTTCTGTAAATAATGTTGGAATTGCAGGTTTGTTGGAAACTAAATTGGATAAGGAAAAGGTGGAGGATCGGATGAAGAGGAAATGGAGACAATATGACTATGTGGAAAACAGTGAAGGAGGAAATAAGGGAAGAATTCTATTAATTTGGAGAAGAGATGAGTATATGATAAGGGTGGAACATATAACTCAGCAATATATCTACTGTTATATGAAGGAGGTGGGTGGAGCAAAAGCATTCTACTTGACAAAGTATATAATGAATACAATGCACAAAGAAGAGCAAATTTTTAGGCAGAGTTAAGACAGCTTAGCACAAATGTGATTGGAGAATGGCTTGTAATGGGGGACTATAATTGTATATTAAAGAAAGAAGACAAGATTGGGGGAATGAATGAAGTAAGTGTTGATACGGAGAACTACAAGACACTAGTTGAAGAGAATGAATTGTGGGAAATGCAAACTTATGGGGGAAGATTTACTTGGACAAATAAACAAATTGGAGCATTGAGAATCTTTTCAAAGTTGGATAGAGTGTTTGTTAATGATAAATGGATGCAGAAGTATGCTGATGCATACTGTACAGTAATGCTTGCTGGAATTTCAGATCACAATGCTCTGTTGATCAGGTGGGGGAAGGAATACAGAAGTGTAAAAGATCATTTAGATACTTTAACATGTGGGCACATCATCTAGATTTCTTATCAACAATTGAGCAGGGTTGGCAACTAGAAATGGAAGGTACCAAGCAATTCCAGCTAGTGAGAAAGCAAAAATTGCTGAAACCAGCACTGAGATTGTTTAATAAAAGGAATTTTGCCAATATAGAAGAGAAGGAGCAGGAATGTAGAATACAAATGGAAAAGATTCAGGAGGCCCTAAAGCAGGATCCATTAAATGAGGAAATACAGAAATCAGAAAAAGAAGCAGTATTGGAGTATACTATAGCATCAAAAGCAGTTATTAGTTTTTGGGCACAGAAATTAAAACAAAAGTGGATATGTGTTGGTGATATGAATACCAAGTATTTCCATGCCGCAGTCAGGCAAAGAATAAGCAGGAATAGGATTAAGTCATATGTCTCAGAACATGGGGAGTTGGTGGAGGAGCAATGCAAAGTGGAGGAACACTTCATAGGCTACTATAAAGAGTTGTTGGGGAAGAAGGTGGCAAGAATCAAAGCCAAGAATGAGATCTTTGAAGTAGGAAAAAAACTGAACCTTGATCAGCAGGTACTTTTGATTAAAGAATTTACCAAAGCAGATGTAAAGGAAGCTTTATTTAGTATTGATGAAACTAAAAGCTCTGGTCCTGATGGATACAATAGTGGATTCTATAAGAAGGCATGGAACATAGTGGGAGATGATTTCACCTATGCCATACTTGAGTTCTTCAAAACTGGAAAACTGTTGAAGCAGATCAATGCAACCATGATAGCACTGATACCAAAGAATGAAAGCCCAAAGAATGCCACAGAATACAGGCCAATTTCCTGCTGTAATACTATATATAAATGCATCTCTAAGATGATTTGCAAAAGACTGAGCCTTGTCTTACCAGATTTAGTGGATTGCAATCTAGGAGATTTTGTCAAGGGCAGATTGATATTGCATAATGTGCTGCTAGCACAAGAACTAATCAGACTGTACAACAGGAAATCAGCAAAACCATCATGTATGATGAAGGTTGATTTAAGGAAGGCGTATGACTCAGTTCACTGGGAGTTTCTTGAAGAAATGTTGCAAGAATATAAGTTTCCTGAAAGGTTCAGACAGTGGATTATGGAATGTGTTACATCATCTACTTATTCACTGAATCTGAATGGAAACAGTGTTGGTTATTTTCAAGGTCAAAGAGGATTGAGGCAAGGTGATCCAATGTCTCCATTACTCTTTGTGCTAGTAATGGAAGACTTGACCAGAAGTTTTAAATTGGTGGCAAATATGGATGGCTTTGTGAAACATCCATATTGTGAGGAATCGAATATTACATCATTAAGCTTTGCTGATGACTTGTTAATATTTTGTGGAGCTGAGGTTGGAACAGTCAGAAAGGTTAAAGATACTCTAGACCATTTTGCAAGCACTACTGGTTTGAGAATTAATGAAGGGAAGTCTAATCTGTACTTTGGTGGATCAGGAGGCAATACAGAGATGATGATAAGGCAGATGATGGAATTTGAAATTGGGTCCTTTCCCATGAAATATTTAGGACTTCCAGTGGCTCCAACTGCATGGAATAAATCAGATTGCCAGTACTTAGTGGATAAAGTAACTGCCAGGATCAAATGTTGGGAATCCAGGCACTTGTCATATGTAGGAAGAACAGTGCTGATCAATGCAGTGTTGATGACACTTCACATTTACTGGGCAAGTATCTTTCTTATTCCACAGTCTGTTATAGCTGAGATAACTTCTTGTTGTAGGAACTTTCTGTGGAGGATAAAAGAACCTGGAAAGTGCTTTCTTCGGGTAGCCTGAAATGATCTTTGTTGTAAAAGGAGAGATAGAGGCTTAAACATCAAAGAACCAGGTGCTTGGAATAAAGCATTGATGGGCAAATAGCTGTGGGATTTGGAATCAAAGAAGGACAGTCTATGGATTAGATGGATGCTCATTTACTACTTAAAAGGCAGAAGTATTTGGAATTATGATCTTCCAAAAGATTGTAGCTGGCATTGGAAGAAGTTGATGAAAATCAAAGATGATCTGAAAGAAGGAGTAGTAAATGGTAGCTGGACAGCGAATACTGGTAAACTATATGATGCCAGAAGTGGTTATGTGTGGCTGAGAGGAAGCAGAGAGAAGTTTAAACCAGCAGAATATCTGTTGGAGTAAGTTCTCCATTCCTAAACACTGCTTCATTTCATGGTTAGCTTGGAGAAGGCAGACTGCTAATTATAAACAGATTGAGACACCTGAAGATGAATGTTAAAGATCAGACTTGCATACTGGGTAAGGAAAAGGAAGAAACTGGTACACATTTGTTCTTTAAATGCTCTTATGCACAAGAACTGATGGCTGGAATTACTCAATGGTTAGGAATCAGAACTCAGATTAAAACTCTGTCTGCTGCAAGACTGATGCATATTTGAAAGTATAAAGCTACCAGAAGGAGGATCCTGTTTGCTTGTTTGAATGCTGTGATGTATCACATTTGGAATGAAAGGAACATACGGCTGTTCCAACAGAAAAATGAGATGGCAGAACTCAGACTAAGAAGAATTCAGCAGGAAATGAAATGTAGAATCATACATATATATAGAAATGGTAGTGGAGATGATGTTAGATTTTTGAAAAGTCTTAGTGTTGTAATAGATTGTTGATACATTGTACAGTTGAGGATGATTCAATGAAATACATTCACATTTTACCAAAAAAAATATATCACTAGACAGGGGAAAGACTTTCATATCAATACCACGTTTAAAACTTTATTATGATTTCAACATTTTTCTTGCTCCTTTCATAGCAAATTCATAATTAGAATGTCTTAATAAAAATTCATCATTAAACCAACAAAACATTTAAACTTTATTTACGAAAATTTAATTGAATGTGCCTGTACATGTTAACTGATAATACATGCATATGGGTGTTCGTGAAATTTACATTTTATTTACTCTTCTCTAACTTAAATGATATACCAAAATCATCAATTCTACTGCATAATTGTAATTTAACCACGTATTGGTGCACTTGATGGAAATTGAAAGCAAAATCAAAAGTTCATTTAAACAAGTGACAAACCTCCATACTTACATATCGAGTGTAGAAGGGGTGTTCTTTCACTTCGTCGTGATTTGAACAATTTTTCTTGCTATAATTCATATATCTTTCATGATTGGGATGTTTTAATGAAAACCCAATATTAAATCTAATAATTAGATCAATGAAAAACTTTGAACTTTATTTATGAAACATCGTAAAATGATTAGAATGATTCACATGTTAATTGATGATATGCGGTCGAGGGCGCTCATGAATTTTACATAATATGTATTTACTTTTCTCAAAATCGTTATTTCTACCGCATAATCATAATGTACTTATGTATTGATGCAGTACTACTTTAAAAGTGAAAACAAAATCAAAAAGTTCGACTTCGGTGTGAAAGATATTCACGAAGTACGAACCATGTGGTTTCCCTTTTTATGAACATGGAATAGGAGTACTACCCTTTTATAAGAATTCTGTAAACATGATGTAACTTTTGTAGTTTCTAAACTTGTGAATTCTGAATCACATGTTCTATGACATTATAAATAGATCTGACATTTATATGAAGTTAATGATTCTGTACAATTGTCTGGTAAAAATATAGAGAACTAGAAAGAAGCATTCCATCAAATGAAAGAAAGCCTACTTTCCTAACTTTCACTATAATGACATAATAGTATATATGGGCTATGCAGTATCCTAGTAATAATCCATTAATATCCTACCATTAGAATTTGAATAACTGAGTTCTACTGAAAAAAACTCCAAAGAATTCATCTAGATAACTCTTGCGTTTTTTTGCAGGAAACATGAAATGGTGTCTGATTCCTTAATGCCAAAGCTTCAGGCAGAACCCTGCCGGCAAAGCGCTTGATCTTTTGTTCGAAATGACATCAGAGAAGCTGTCAATCAGCTGTCCAGCAAGTGACTCCGGATCTTCAATAAATGTGTCGACAAATACCTTCACAATTCTCACCTCCTGAGGCGAGGCTCTCAAGCCGTACCAAGTCAGGAATTTTTGCCTGAATGCAGCTTCAATATGCCCTTCACATTCCAACCACCGGATCATCTTAACGTAATATTCAAAGTCCTTGTCCACTGTACCAGATTCATCACCTAGGCTTTCAAACTTTCTCTTTTTAGATGAACTACCAGCTCGAGGTTCCTCTTCTTTTCCAGACCCGTTATCAAGGTCCTTGATAGCAAGTTTCGGTCTGCAGCTTCTTTGAAGCCCATCCTTTGTATTATCAAACTTGCAGGGAGTAATTGGCAACACGTTTACTGGATTACTGAGCACTGGAACACACTCTTTGCCTGTTCGATGAGGGGTAGTTGACCCATTGTCAGTGCTTGTTTCTTCAACCATTTGTTCTTCCAGTGATTGCTTGTTCTCAAGATTCACAGCATCAGCATTTGAAACTGAACAAATTTTCCCCATGCTATGCTCCTCATCCAGCAAGGATGAGGCATCCCCATTGATACCTCTTTCTATTTTATCTGAGTAGCCGTTTAACATGTTCGCCGAAATCATGTTTTCAGCTGTATCATGGTGGTTAAGATAGTTATCCCCCCTGGTCTCACTCTCATTGCTGCTGGGGTTAACATTATTAGTTTCATCTTCAACTGACGAAGGATTAGAAAGGCTACTGCAATTGGTAGCCGGACTTTCAGTTCTTTCAACTTCCACTTCTTTTGAATTGGCATTAGAGACATCAACAACAGCAATTGCTGTTCGAAAACTTACTTCACATGTTCCTAATTCCCTACCATTATCAAGGGATGCAAGCTTGAGAAGATAATCAGTATCTGGTGCTAGACTTGATAAAGTGCACGTCCAATTTGGTGGAAACACTGTGCAAGTAGGCTCCCTTGGATAGTCTAAATCGACTGATTTTCGATGCCATACGTTACATGTTGTTCCATTTCCCAGAGAGGACTCTTCATACATCAAACGCACAGTAATAGATGAGGAGCGGATATCTTCAAGTGTAACCAATTTTGGAGCAACCATAGTATGATCTACAGAAGTACCAAGAATCCAGAATTAACCAGAATGATTTCAACTAACAGATTCTACTATTTCAAGGATTATTGAAAATACTTCCGTGGATAAGTTGCACTGAACTTTACCTGCAGGCACGTCAGAAGCTCTTGCTGAGAGAACGGAATCAAGGGACTCAATGGCAGCAGAGCAGAGTTTCTGAACCTCTGGTCCAGCAGATAGCCGATTTACTATACCTCTACCCATCTTCACTGGTAAACCAGTTAAAGGACCGACGTCTGCCTCAAGCATTGTCACGGCTTTGTCAACAATTTCGTACAGATTTTGGTAGATTTTGGTTCCATTAAGAATCTTTTGGCACAGGGAAACCCGATAACAGAGTATGTCAACCCTTCTGGTGTCCCTTGCTATAAGAAGTTGTTTTCTCCAGGACCTGCATGAATCATCCTAGTACACTTAGAACAACTCCAATTATTCTCAAAAGGCCAGACAGTCAAAGAAAAATTTTAAGGGTGATATAGTGGTAGAGTTCAGAGTGATACAGTGTTAAGGAGCTTCAATGGCTACCCTAAGGAGAAGTGTCTCTTATTATCATAAGTTTCTGAGATTTAATAATTTAGTTGACAACAGATCAGACAACAGTGTAAGAGAAAATCGCCATTTTAAATTGCACGTAATGGTAACTAGAAACCAAATTAGGCAAACGTATCAGCAATGTCAAGTGATAACAGGATTTGTGGCATGTCCAGTAGAAAAGCATATTATGATAAATTAAAGATCAAAGGGTAGGAAGGTGCAGAAAAATTTACCCAAGAATATCATTCATCTTCCCACAAGATACACAATAGAAACTCCCATCAAGTCTATTGTCCAGCTTATCCTTGATGATGCCAGCTCTTTCATTTTTAAGGGCACATTCAAGGTGACAAGACATGCCACATGATACGCCTTGAAACGGAACCTCTGAGCTGCAAATCAACCACAAGCTAGGGTCCTTGTTGTCATCATACTTATGGCAAATGCAGCACGAACACCTCTTGCAGAATGAATAATCTTTACCCAGTGCCGCTTTACAAGCTATATTTTTGCAATAATTTGTAGTTTCCACCTCTACAGGAACCTCAAAGGTGGTTGCTACATTTGTTGGAACAGATAATCGATTAGGATTATCAGATTTCCGCTGCCTTTTGGCAGGTTTTTGCGGACTGTCTGATGAAGTCTTTGGTTCATTATCAGTTGCAGTAGCATGCTCATGCAAGTTCTTCTCAGACACAATTTTCATAAGCTGCTCTATTATTTTCACCTTTGTCAAACCAGTATATTTCCTTTCTTTCCCCATTTCAGCACAGAGAACTTCTAATATTTCCTGACGGCTCCAGGACTGCAGGATCTCTGATGCACCATGGGACCACTTGGACAAAGCATGCACAATTTCCCGTTTTTCATCCATGGTTAACTTACCACACTTTGATGGATCGCGGCTCAACCCTGCATAGAAGAAGGTTCCAAACAAAACTTAGAACCAGAAAATTTAAGAAATTCAGGCCAAAAGGAGGAAGCTTTATTTACAAGTTGTAACTGCTTATATACATCTATAAATACAGTCAAACGAACTGCTAATAATTCCTCTACTAATTTACATACATGACACATTACTCTAATGCACATGCCAGCATATTTTCCCTACTGTTTAAAGCATCTCCCACACTTTCACACGTATCCAAAGTACCATCGATTTCAAACGTCAAAATCCACATAACAGATGATGACAAACCAACAAGCTAATCAGGTTGTGAAATGAAGGTTGACCCAAAAAGTTTTACGCCAGAACACAGTTATTTCAGCAAGGAGCAGAGCACCTAACTGCATCCTTTTCAACTCCCACAAAAAATAATCACATTGAAAGGGAAATGAGAACAGAAAAATGCATTCTAACCCTGATGAATCGTAAGATACCCGGCCAATGGAAGGCATTTTTCTATTTAAAAAAGAATACAGACTGATTAGCACCAACTTTCACGTTGACTTTGCAGTACAAGTGGCTCTCCTAATGGTGCGCTGAGAGGATTATATTAAAATTCAGAAAACCTTGCAGAAGCATTAATGAAGAGCAAATTGCTTAAACATAAGCCTTCCATTGTAAAGACTAAAGAGGTGAATATTAGAGGCAAGCGAAAACGACATTGCTGGCATCCTACTCAGATGCTTTTACATTTTTATTCAGGAAAATGCTAAAAAACCAATAGGGAGTGGGTAACCACCACTACTAAATTACAATAACCCCAAAAGAAAATTAAAAATCACATACTCATTGACAGCACATACACACGAAACAACACAATTTCCAATCACAGAAACTCCCAAGGAGATCTAATCAAATTAAATTGCTATCTCCCAACAATATCACTAGTCTTCAGAACCTTTACTTACATACAAAAAAAACAGAGAAATGGATCAAGATTGAATTTTTTTCAGGATTGAGAACGTTTCAAAGAGTAGACTTTTCAACATTTAAGTAACTAACCGACAAGCTAAGGATAACATTGAGGAAACAAGCCAAAATTCATCACAGGAAAACTCTGCTGAATCATAAACCATCAAAACAACAAAACAAGTGGAAGAAAAAAATTTTACCCTCCAACGAAGAACTATCCATAGTGCTATCACTTGCAGAAGAAAAATCCAATCTTTTTACCACATTACGATGAATCAAAGACCAGCTTTTTCACAACCTGCGGTAGAAAAAATCCCAAAATAATCAACCCTTTCTTAAACATAACCCAAAAAAACAAACCGACCCTTTATAATATATCCAGTTATGAGGATCATGTAACTGTACCTTTGGACAATATGTAAGAAACGAAGAAGAGGAAGAGTATAATCACTGGCAATAACAAAACAATAGAATGGAATCATCCATGAAGCACGAGATGGGTCCTCAACGTGGGCTTTTCAATACCCGAAAGAGAGTGAGAAGGAGAGATGGGGAGAGATTCGAGGACCCTTTTTGTTGTAAGAGAGAAAGAGTGAGAGAGAAACGGTTGAGAGATAATAAATTTAAGGAAAGGGGAAGAAGTTTATTGGTAATGTGCCATGAGTCCATCCATATTTCACTATCACAGAGTCACACAGTATTATTCTTGGCCAATAGGAAATTGGGTAATTGCCTAATTGGTAGTAGTAATTTGAAGAAATTAAGAAAGATCTAATAATTGTCAGCGGGGAAAAAAAAAAGGGGAAACTAGACCCAAACGAAAAGAAATTGAAGAAGAGGGAAAAAAAAAAAAAAAAAGAAAAAGAAAGAAAAGTGCGGCTGGATAAATTGAATTGTTTCTGATTTAACAACACTCTTTCGTTATCTGGTAAGAGTAACGTTATTGTGGTAGCTTGTGCTTGTGATATAATATACAGTTATATTTCGTGTAAAAAAATACTAAGACCTTGTTTGGATGATGGTTTATCTTATTTTTAGTTTGAATTTTGAGAAAAAAATTTAAAAAATTATTTGTATAATTTTTTAATTAAAATAATATTTTTTTACCACTACCAACCACCTCCACCACCTATTTTCGCCGCCGAACCGTCACCGGCCGGTGACCGGCCAGGCGGATTCCAACCAAATCCTGCCAACTTGACGGCGACGATATGGCGGTGGTCCTGCGTGACGGGCGGTGGTGGAGGTGGTCCGGTGGTAGTGTACGAAAATTATGTAAAAATAAGTTTTAGAATATTTTTTAAAAGGTAATTTAAAATATTATTTGGATAGTGTATTGAGTTTTGTGTTTAAGAGATAAAAATGTTAGGTTTCACTTTACATCATTGGTGTAAAAATGTATATACGGCAAATGTAGCTAGTAATTTTCAGCATGATTTTATATCTAATGTAAATGTCCATGTAATAAGTTCGATTAAGACATTCTCATTAAAACAGGAAAGTGGACTGTGGAGAAATGAGTAACTTTTTAATGACTAGTCCGTATTTAGTGTAATTATTACTCCCTTCCTTCCTTCCAAAATGAATTATTATAATGTTTGTTGTATCAAATTTAGTATTTCTGTAATATAAGATTGGACAATTAGTTTAAGAAGATGGAGGAAATACTAATCTATGTTTGATATTCTATATTGTTGTACGGGGCAGTTGCTTGACGTCCGAATGCAAAATCGTCATTGGGCATATAAAGAAATCATTCGCTATGAGAGGTTCATTTCAGAATATGTTCTTCAACTTTTTTTAGTGATTAATCTGTGCTTTATATAAGTAAGTATAAGTATTAAAGCACTTTAAGGCAATCATTTCCAACAAAGTGAATTCATGAACCTTTTTTCTAAAACTGTCATTAATCAATTTAACTACTACTCAATTTAATTTTAACTGATAATCATTGAGTGGCATAATTATATATGAGTTGGAATAGCACTAAGAACAGTGGAACTCTAATATTATTTCTGTGAATGGTGACAATATTAGTAAGTTATTTCTTCTTTTCTTTTTTAATAATCAAAATCCTCTCCACAAAAATGGTCAAGGATCCACGTAGTTGAGCCCTTTCTTCGGTAATCATATCGTAAAGGGGAGCAAATAGTCGAAACAGATGCATTTTATAACACTTGTTGGTCTAAATAACGAAAAGATTAAGTTCTGTTAAACATAAATTTCGCATTCGAAATTTGAACTGATCAGAATACATTATGTATATATCCAAAAAAAAAAAACCCTAAAATTCGTCATTTTGCTCATATCCAATATATGAATAAGAATAGTATTATCTCTTGTTATCAAGCTAGATCACAAAAGGGAGAAAAATAAGTATTGAAAAAGTCATTGCACCTTAATTGGCAGCCATATAGGTTTAACCATTCTCCCCCTTTTGGGTTAGGCTAAGAGCCTGCGACAAAGTGTTGCAGGCATAATATCATCAGCGCAAATTTAGACTATAGACTATATATGGTCTGAAGACTTGACCAAGTTAACATATCATGATCTATTAATTTCGCAATTTGTCAATTGTCAACCACTTGATCTTTGTGAGTAGATCCAGTGGAAATATCTCGTTAGTGGATGTACCAAGTGCCAACATCGTTTTAATTTTCATTTCTCGTATTTTTGGTTTATATACAAGTATGTCGTACGTGATTGGTCAACCTTCTTTTCTTCCTTGTTTTTGTCTTTTTTTTGTTTCTGGATTTCAGTTTTGGCAAATTGTCAATTATTCAACCTAAGTTTACGTAGGAAAAAATTATTAGTCCATGCAGACTTTGCACCAAATCGATGTTTAAGAACAAACCCTTTTGAGTTTTGACTGTTCCGCATTTAGCTAGCACAGCATGCACGCCTGTATATGAATTGATTGGACCAAATTAATCTGGCAATTGCCGTACGTAGTACTACTAATCATGAGTTTGGATCGATCCTATGGAAACAGTTCATGATTTCCTTTCCCCCCATGCCAGTGCTGCCCTAATTGTACCACATGATGGTGTGACATAATGAATACTTGCAATTTGCAGTTGTTTACATGATACTGAAGCAATAAAAATAAATAAATAAAAGTATTCGAAAGTTGAATGTACCTGTTGTATTGACCGTTTCAGTATATTTATTTTGTTAAATTAAATTAGTATGGAAAATTTTCTAATAAAAAAAGAGAATACATTTCACTTCAATATGAATAACATGGGTATTTCAAACTAATTTACAGGCATCGTTTTAACAAAAATAAAATAGACTATGAATCAGCTCAAAACCTCTTAATTATTACTAACTCGATGGGCAAAGTCTGCGTCTTAATGGTTATATACCTTGTCTTTCCTTTTTTTTTCCCCCTTTACCATCCTTTTTCTCCCGGAATATCTTTTCTTCAGTTTTTTTTTTTCAATTTACTTATTCTGTACTTTTTGTTAGTACAATTTTTACAATCTTATAATACAAGTTTCATATACAGTACAGGCCAAATTATAATCAAACGAATTGGTCATTATCGATCATTAAAAAGCTTTAAATTTCAAAACGTGGGTATAATTCGATAAACCATTACTAGCCAGACGTACGTAATGATATTTTTTGCGTTATTGCATGACTTTGCTTGCAGTTGGTTGTTGGGTTTTAGTTTGTAAATAAAAACCGAAAACTAAAAAGTTGCAACTCATATTTGGTTTAATCTTCATGGAACCAATTAAAGGGTGTCAAAAAATTAAAAGAGTACAAAACATGACAAATATTCATGAAATGTTACGTTGGTGACTTAGAACTCAAGGGCTATAAACCTTGATTCGTATCTTTCAATTCTTAATGTTTGCCTATAAATAGGTGAACTACTACAGGTTTTTGGTAAGTTTATTTTACATTCCTAAATTCTTAAAGAACAAGGAATAATTGCAAAGTTACTTGTTCTTGTGCTTCTTCGTATCCTAGAGAAATGGCCAATCAAACCCAGTTTTGCAAAGTAGTGGGGAAAAATATTGTCTTAAGGACAGTGATTACACGCTTAGAATACATCCAGACACGGCGGTGTTTCCCCCAATATTGTAATTGAATATTTCTTCTTAAAAATCCAACTATGCTTTGTCTTGTTATTGTCAAATTCTTGTATGATTTCTCTAACTACAGATAGTTCGTATCTTTCAATCTTAAGACAATATTATAGCCTTGAAATTGATACAAGTATTTGAGAAGACAAAGACCAAAGATGGTGAAAAACAACAAAGATGTAATCCTACAGTCTGGAGATTTTTGGGTGTGTTCAAGTTATTTTCTCTACAGTTTAGTTCCATAGTCAAGTTCTGAAGATAGATTTTGAAAGATCTGGAGTATACTCCGATGAGTATACAACAGATAAGTTTTTTTGGTGTTAAATGCTTTCTCTTGAATTACCAAATTTGGAATTGATAAATCCATATAATAGTTTCAATATTTGTAGATTTATGTTTTTTACTTTAGTATTAACTGAATCTAGTGTTGTAAAAATTATGTGGATTAAACTGTGTTTAAAGATCCCACATTAATTATTTATTACAGATATTAAACTGAATTTGGTTCTAAAAAAAACTTGCAATGAATTTCTCAGTTTTAAGGAATGCGAAAAACATATTGTTATAGTTGTGTTGAAATTGATTTTAAACTGAATAGTTGATGTTCAAAACTACTAAAATTAGTTTGTAAATTTCTAAAAGCCAATTGTGTTTGAAAAACTAGAACCACAGCAATATTGTAATTTGATTGTATGTTAGAAATTTTTCTGTAAATGTACGTCGACCTTGCGTCAGTAAACATAAGTTGACAGAAAGGTAGACGGATGTTGAAATCTGCTATGTGTCGTTGTTTAGTGCCTTCGACATGTTTGTTGACTAGATTAATGTTGACAGAAAAGTCGATATCTATTAGAATGTCTGGATGTTAAGTCTCGTCAATTTTGTCGTCAATTCTAGTAGAGCCGACAGAAAAGTCGACGAACACAACTAAATTCCAATAAGTTTTGGGACAATTTTGGTTATAAAAATTTGATACTATGTATGAAATTAAATACTTTATGCATGTGAAAGTTTCATGTAATATTGTGAAAGTGTGGTTTCAGTGAACCAAAATTGATGGCTTCTATGAAAATTATGACTCTTTGGTTTTTGTTTTGTTGAAGAGACACGTACCTAGTGTTGTGTCTAGTGAGTTCAAATAAAAAGAGACAAACAAAGTTTTGTCTATAAACTCTAAGTTGAAAAACACAATTGAAAGTATGGGTTCATTGGTTCCAAAAAAAAGAGAAATAAAAAAAAAAGTGTGTCCATTTATTCTAAGTGAAAAGCACGAGTTAAAGTCTTGCCTAGTCACCAAAGTGACAGTTTAAGGTTATAACATTTAATTAGTTGATAGCCAGCTATTACTTTTACAATAAAACTTCTTTGTGAAGAGGTGATTAATCTTGCAATTGTTGTGTTTATTATCAATGCATTTGATAATGTTGCCAATTCATATGTTTGAACATTCTTATTATTTGTGAATGATAAATTAGTGTTAAACTATTGCATTTCTGTGTAAGATATAAATTAATTTGTGTCAAACATCTTAATAATAAAATGTAAAATTTATGTACATATCAAAGCTGCAAGATTGATTTACTATTAAAGTTGGAATTTATTGCTCGTATAATCCTTTGATGTATGTGAACTAAACAATTTTAAACTAAGGGGTGCAAGAAATATTTTGTCACATTTATAGATAATTGCTCAAATTTGTATTGATGTTTATCTAGTGAAAATAGTAGATAAAATATTTGATAC